ATACAATAATGTATAAATAAATAAATAATTAAATAAATGCATCAATAAATATATAAATGCTGAAAACAATACATCAATGAATAAATAATAAATACACTTTGTTAATGAAAAAGGCTATTTATATATTTTTACATGTATTTATTCATTTATTAGCGTATTTCTACAGTTATATATGTATCAATGCATACATTTCCACATTAATTGAGTTATTAATTTATTTCTGTATTTTTACATTTACACATCTATTTATTTCTGTGTCCAGGTCGTAAGAGGAAAAGTATATAAGTAAATTTACTTCTGTCTGTTTTTCAAAATTGACCAATCCTTCTTCAGTAATGTTAGGACGGCCCACTTAATTTACATATTTACTTTTCCTTGTACAACATGGACACAGAAATACATAATACATTTATTTATATATTTATTGATGCATTTATTTAATTATTTATTTATTTATACATTATTGTATGCATTTCTCCCAACATTCATTCATTTATTCATTCATTCATTCATTTATTGATTGATTGATTGATTGATTGATTGATTGATTGATTTATTTATTTATACTTTAGTCATTTTTTTTGTCCCTCATACCGATGTGGTCACGTCAAAAAGTCATTGAAAGTGATCTTTTACAAAGTTTAAGAAAAAACATCATGGGCTGTTTGTAATAATTTTAAGACAATATGTATTTCTCTCTCAGATCACGCCCACCTCAACATACTTTCCTGTTTCCTGTGTTACACATAAGGAACGAGTGCCTCTGACAAGTCTCTGCCCACTCGTCCATATGTCCTCCAACAACAGACAGAGATACCCAAGCTGTTCACATAGAAAGAACTATATCTCCATCTTATTATTCAACATTATCAACCGTCGCTCCCTTTTGAACAATTACATTTCCATTTTTGTCATAAAATATATATATGTGTGTGTGTGTGTGTGTGTGTGTGTGTGTGTGTGTGTGTGTGTGTGTGTGTGTGTGTGTGTGTGTGTGTGTGTGTGTGTGTGTGTGTGTGTGTGTATATATATATATATATATGGATTGTTGCTTCTTTCCTGTTGTATCAAACTCATACTGAACCATGACTCCAAAACCAAAGTAAAACTTAACTGTGACTTCGGTATATTCCCGCACATTCCCGCATGATATCTAGAGTAAAGTCAGTGATTATTTCCTGAGACAAAAGATCCAGACATGATTTAGCCGCCTACTAATTCTTCTCCTGCACCTCTTTGACGCTGAAATGAGAGAAACAAGATAAAACAGGAACAGTTTAGAAGTCATATTTCAGAGCGTGCACCGTACACAGGGAGAAATAGGACTCAAGTAATGGCTCAATTCGGGCTGTGCAAACTCACTTTATCACTCGGCTGGCCGGAGGGGAAGGAATAGAGATGAAGCAGACTGATAAAAAAAATAGGAATACGAGAGAAAGATGGAGACAGAAGCAGAGGTCATCAGTCCTCTGGAGATCCATATATGTGCTCTGTATCAATAATGTAAAGGGAGAGAGATGAGCGGCGCAAGGACAACAGAGACCGAAGAAGGAAAAGGACGAGCTGGAAGCAGACAGAGCGATTGGAAAAAAGACGAAAAGAAAAGAGGGAGGGATGGAGAGAGAGACGGAGTAAAAGGCCACACTGAAGCCACAAGGCTCCAGCTTCTAATCGACCCAACATTCCTCCTCCACTTCAGCACAATTTAATTCATGCAGCTTTATTGACACAAAGAAGCTTCTCTTAGTGTTCATTAAGAGGAGTGAACTTGCAAAACACAACATCAGTACGTCCCTTCCAACACCTCACAAACAAACAAGAATAGGTTGAAGGTCACTTTCTAATAAGGTATTGATCCTTCAAATGTGTCTGCTGCAAACTACACATTTCAATTGATGAGCATAAACTTAGACATAAATATCTGTCTGATGAAAACACTGCAAAACATTTTTGCTTCTTGGGGCGATTCATTTGTCCTGTTCACTTTTTAAGGGCACATAGGCATGAGTTTAAACAACAATATTCACTATAAAAAAACGATCTAATGATGCAGAATCTGCTGCCAGGGCCAAGATTTTTTTGTTCAGAAGCAGTGTGGTTTCCGTTTGTAGCTGGAGTAAAATTGTCGTCTCGCTGCAAAACAGTCTGTCAGCGAAAAAGGCAGAAAGCAATCCTGCATCTCACAGCTTTTATCTGAGACAACTTAACCTTTAATTTCCCAGACCATACTGTTGGGTGGCTTGTAAACTACCTTACTGGTAAAACCCAGACTGTTCAGTAATGCTGGTACCTCAAGGTTCAGTTCTGGGGCCACTTTAATTTACTTTAAATTTGATTGCCTCAAACAAAATAATCCAAATTCTTCTTTTAGGCTGATGACACTCCCTTTTACTGCTGTGCACCTAGGTCTTCAAAAGCTTTCTCAAATGTTCTTCATGCTTTTGACTTACTACAAGATCAGCTCTGTAATATGCCACTCTAAGTAAATGCAGGCAAAACTAAACTTATGTTCTTTACATTCTCAAGAACAGCAAAAAGAGCACAGTCTAAAACGACAAAACTTAGTGACCCTGAATGTTTTTAAATCCTTAGTGAAGAGTCTTGAATCCTAACTTTCTGTATGCCACTGTTTGAGCTGACGCTCGTATCATTATTTGTCTCATTATGTAATATCTACTGTATTAGTGTTTGTTGTTGAAACTCTGTGTTGCTGCTATTCTTGGCCAGGTCTTCCTTGAAAAAGAGATATAAAAAGCTGGCAGTCTCTCAACCTTCTTTCCCATTAAAAAAACTACTAGTTTTTAATGTATCACCAAATAGTCTGATATTTATCTGAGCAGTGGGAGTGCTGCTGTGAGCCTGTGTGTCTAACAGCAGAGCAAAAGTGTGTTGTGAAGTCACATCTTATGACGTATCAGGAACATATGCCATACACTTCAGGCTCTCATTATGTAATGTGTGCTGTATGAGTTTGAATGTTTCTGTGTGCTGCTGCTATCCTTGGCCAAGTCTACCTTAAAAAAAGTGATCTCTGATCTCTTTGGGACTTACCTTGCTAAACGTTCAGTAAGCATAAAAATAAACCCACATCTGATTATGAGTGCAGCTAACAGTCCTATTGTAGACATTATTTAAACAATCAAAAAAGGTTATTAAAGCAGGGCAAGAGGTCGGATCAAGTCTCTGGAATAAGGGTGTGCTTTGGGAGAAACATAAATCAAACCAATCACAGTGTCGGCTCTTTTTCCCTTAAAGAATAAGCCATGCCTGGGGGCCGGTGCGTAGCTATTTACTCAGTGTGTTTCAGTCTTTGTTCAAAGATAAACAGAGCTCTGTCCTTCTCTCGTGCCCCTGAACACACAGAAAACAAACAAACCACTAAATGAAATATATTGCTCACAGATCGGACATAGTCTATGAAAAATACCCACAACATCAGCAACTATCAGTACCTTTCCAAATTATATGAGATGCTGTCTTTATGCAAGTGGCAAAAAATGTGTGACTTCATTAATAATTAAAATCATCAGACATGCCGACAGGTTTACTAGCGTTTTGTTTGCTTAACACAAAATAAAGGTAGGCTAAAAATTTTATTTTCTTATTTTTTGCTAAAGTTATCCTTGGTTACGTCTGTGCTGCTTGCCTTATAGACACTGAACAGCCTCTATTAATATCTGTGGACTTGACTGTCATTGGTAGTGTATTAAAATGCACCTAGCTCTTTTTCCCCATGGCTGAGTCCTTTTTTTTGTTTATTATAGAGGGTGCTCATTAAAGTGAGCACACCTGATGGTGAACTTGGTGATGGTCTCCGCTTGTAGGACTTGAGCAGAAATCTCCTCATGGTGACGCAGGTGTTTCAGAGGAAGCAGTGAGCGTTTCCTCGTCTTCTGAAACCTCCAGATTGTCCTCGTTGCAAAAAGACAAATAAAGTTGCCAATCAACACACACCATGATGCGTTCAATTCCCCCTCCACACTGTGTGTGTGTGTGTGTGTCAGGGACTTGACGTTGACAGAAGGTGTGTTTGTTAATTCTTCGCTCCATTGGTCCTCAAATGCTTTAATAACATCCTCGTGTTTCTCTCCTGTCTCTAACACTTCACTGCTCCGTCGTTTTCTGGGATGATGTCGTGTCCAACATGACATTTTACCTTTCTCTCAAACTCCCGTGTGTACATCTCAGTTCACTGTGCAGCTGCTGACTGACAGCGCAGAATACCATTTGCCGGTTATATTTATACACCTGTCAAATTCTTTTCTCAAAGTCTTTCTGCTGAACAAAATACAGGTGGCAAAAAAAAATGGAGGTTCATTTAAGAATCTTGTGGTACAACCATCAACAAATTCTGTCTATACTGTAGCTGCATCTTTTAAATGATGTCTCTCCGCTCCTCGGTTGAACCGGACGTAGTCTCTACATCTTAACAATGTTTCCTCAGCCCTTAAAGCTGCTTAGAGGAGAGAGGAGGGATAGTGATAAAAGAGGATGCACAAGAGGAGACTTCACAGAAATATTTTTATAGACAGACACGCCCCCTTATTGGATATCGCTCACTGATTGGACGCTGCAGCCGATAGTACTTACAGGCTTTATATGTGATTTTTTGATAAAGCCTTTAATGAAACACCAGAGTTAAATAACAGATAACAGACGGACCTTTAAACAGACATTAAACATTAAAATATGCCTTTTTTATTGATCCAAAAACACATTTAAGTTTGCTCAACAACTGCTTTAGTATCCATCAACCAGGTGTGAAAGTTTACATTTGCAAACTTGCTGTTCCCCACTCAGACTCCAATAACCCTTTCCTCATCACCTGATAGCCTTCTACAGCTGAGATGACCGTTTGTGTGTGTGTGTGTGTGTGTGTGTGTGTGTGTGTGTGTGTGTGTGTGTGTGTGTGTGTGTGTGTGTGTGTGTGTGTGTGTGTGTGTGTGTGTGTGTGTGTGTGTGTGTGTGTGTGTGTGTGTGTGTGTGTGTGTTTCAAACAGGAGGGGGACTCTCTCGGGGCGATGGAGAAGGTTTGTCGTCAGCTGACTTATCATCTGAGCCCTCACTCTCGGTGGAGGAGGCAGGGCCTGCTCAAGAGGAAACCCCAGGCTTGGTGAGTAACTCTGTGTGTGTGTTTTTACATTTGTGTGTGTGTGATAATCGTGCAGTATGTGCCTCTCTTTTTGTTGACATCTCAGTGTGTCAGCAATGTGTCATCATCTGCTGCCCCCTTTGGATGCCTTAAAAAAATCTTTAATCTCTTTAATTTCCTCACGAGTTCACAAACAGACAAAATCCTCCTCTACCTTCAGTGTCTTCTCTTTTTTACTCCCTATCTTTTTTTTGTCTGGATTACTGTAGCTTTGAATCAATCAGCTAAGGTTGGAACATTTCAAGTATTATCTGTGAGCCGTGGCTATTATGTCGTTTTACTTTGCATCACAACAGTTGGCTTTCTCTCCCCTCGTCCTCTTTGCACTGCATTATGTAGAAACCCTTTGCAACCAAGAGATTTGCATGAATTTGATATGAACACACAGCAAGCGTTACACAACATGCAAATCAGCCCTGAAGAGCACCTCTGACAATCTAATCCATACATGTTTCCTGCTCTGGAAAGTCAACCCAGTATAGAATAATCTGCAGGTTTCTGAAAGATGTTTTGAAAAAAACAAACATTTTTAATGTTTACAAAGCAATGCATTCAACATGCTGTCTTTGCAGAGCGTCTGCAGACAGCATACAAGAATTAAATATATGACATTTCAGGAAGTGAAGCCTTACAAACATAGATCATCCTCGAGTGTAAGCAGCCAGAGAATCACAAAGGGAACATGAAAAATGTTATTCTTATTTATTTTCTCTGGCACGCAGCACTTTCAGGTCTTGTTTGGTTTTATTTATAAATGTTATACATGAAGCAGCACAGTTGGACAATAGGTCGTACTGGATTACAAGTTACATTTTGGAAATATTGTATTTATCAGGGGCTTTCCTTCGCTTTCGCACGAAGAAGTAAAGCACAAGCAGCTGACTAAATTGTCCTTCAGCTCAAGCTGCAATTGCCTCTGGGCTGAATTATTGTGTTGTTGTTTGCACTCTGAATTAATAGTTTTCAAATGAAAGAGAATTTATTGTTGCATTAATTTAAATCCCATTAAGTTTATTGCTGTATTAGACTGTTTTAGTGAAATATGGACGCACACAGAATAAAGAGTGTAGAGAATCAATCAAACTGGAACAATACAGACTCAATAAAATTCATTTATATATCCCATCACCGTGCATGTTATTCTCTTTGCTTGGCTTGTGAACCTGATCCCTGTGCGTGATGCTCCACAACACAGTTAAACTCTGAGATGCGCTGAGTGCTGAGATGTGATGCATCCTGTTGGGAGCAGATGGCAGAAAAACGACGCTGTAGCAGGAGTCCCACTGCTGTGTGAATGGAGGAGCAGTGGGAAATAAAAAATCTCTTTTTCTCCTCGGCTGTTGGTGTGAATTTCAGGTGTCACCTCCTTCAAGAAACAGTTTGCAGACACAGAGGGAAAGAGGTGGAAAAAACAAAGAGTAGAGTCTGTTTGGATGTTGGTCACAGGCAACAAGGTGTTTCTGTTCGAGCAGCGACTTGTCTTCAATGGAATTAAATGAAGGCTGGAGATGAAAATGAAATGAGTTTAGTAATAATCTTAAGTCATTCTGGAGTGGTGGACGCAATTTAATCAACTCTGCGTGTTGGAGTCGGCACTTCAGGCTGTCATGAACTCCAGTCGGAGTGATTAGAGACTAGAGGGGGAAAGAAATGAGTCACCCTTTTTACACAGCAGACACACAAAAGCACTCACAATAACACACACATCTTCATGCGCATTAAATCAGCCCTTCATTGAGTAAACAGAAGGGCTGAAAAATGTTCCTGTACAGATGAAAAGTCCCTTCAGTCGTTGGTATTTGCTGTGAAATCCTCACTCACTGCTTTTAAAAGCAGTTTACTTTTGGGTTTTTAAAATTTCATCCAGAGTGAACTACCTGTATTTTATAGGGCATCTTTGACTTTTTTTTCCAGAATGAGAAGCTACCCGTCCTTTTACTTTTTTTAAAGCTAGATTTGAAGCAGTGATTTTTAAACAAACAATAGTGGCAGTCAGACAAGTTTGCAGATCTAACAAACATATTTGTGTGTTTGAGATCCAACAGAACAGACAATATTCTCACAGCATTTCTCGTGACGTCATGCTTAACCTGGGAACATCATCTCACACAGTACGAGTGAATGGTTTATAACTCGTGACCAAAGATCACGATTTATGTGCTCAGACTGTAAGACTTACATCAGGATGGAGCATTGACAATTGTGGATAAAGTTTCCTTTGAAAACTCCTACAGACTCTGGGGCGCTGGTGGCGCAGTGGTTTGAGCATGCGCCCCATGTATGGAGGCTGTAGTCCTCCATGCGGGCGGCCTGGGTTCAGGCTGGCCTGTGGCTCATTTCCCGGATGTCATTCCCCACTCTCTCTCTCTACCTGATTTCCGACTCTATCCACTGTCCTATCTCTACAATAAAGGCACAAATGCCCAAAAATAAATCTAAAAGAAAAAAAAAATCAGCATCAGAAGTGCTCTCTTTCTCTCAGACACACAGCATCAAACACCAGCTAACTAACAGATTAATCATATTGTAAATAATCCCTGTCAGCTGGAGGTCTGCAGATATTTCCTGCACACATTTATCTCGTTCTTATCTTTGGTGATAGGAGGAGAAGACACATCAAACTGGAAGGCCTGCTGTTGCCATGGTTGATTTCAGACGTTTGTAAAGTAGCAATCAGGGAAAAGCCCTGAAGTTGGGGAATCGTGCTCTCACTGTGTGAGTGTGTGCAGTCGTACAACCAAAATCACGAATCAGAATTTAATTGGACAGGTCAGGAGCAGAAGATCGGGCCGTGATCAGCCTTATGTCCGCTGTACAGTGCAAAGCAAACGACACACGATGAAGCTGAGTTCAGCTTGACTTCATAATCAGTTGTGTGGTTTACGCCCAGTGTATGGCCCAGTGCAGCTCGAGTTGCCTGCATCGACTAGCTCTTAGGCGTTGCTCCTTTTCAGTTTGATTTGTCTCTCTTAGATGAAGACATTCTGTCTGAGATCAGTGACAGTGAGAGGCTGGTCAGCGATGGAGCTGTGATCATACCCAGCTGGGCCCCGCAGCTCTCATCTGAACTTTGTTCTTGTGATGAAAACATGAAAAAGTCTGCTGAAAAAAGAGCCACTGTTAACTGTGAAAGAAGGAGTGGACTGTGTGTAAAATGTAAATCAACTGGCCAGAAGTTTGTTATTGTTCATTGAACAAGGGCAGCTGTGGTTGTGAATCATGAGCAGGATTTAAGAGGCTTACTGTTGCTCGTCTTTGCTGCTTAACAACGACTCCTTTCAGCATTCTCCAAGTCCAGTCAGAGGTTTGAAATGAGGCGTCTGAACGTGCAGACCTGCTCTCATCTCTACTTTGCCGCTGAGCTCTGAAACCCCCAAAGAGGAAAACAACAAGTCAGCTGACGTACGGACATGACATTTACCCTAAAACAGGAATTATCTTTGTCAGTTGTGTTTCCTTCAATTGTATATTATGGTTGGAGGAGTCTTCCCAGAGGCAGGAGCAGAAGGAGACAACAAAATAAATATCATCAATATTATCAGATCTTTTTCCCCAAAAAACACAGTTAGGTAGTCAGAACTTAGCAGGACTTGTGTAAATCAGTGTACTTCTTGTGATGACAGATACAGAAACAGAAAACTCAAAGTACTTGGTCTTTTTCGATTCTCTCATTTTTTTTAAATTTTCAAAATCCAAAACAAAAACCACCAGCCAGAATTTACATTTTTAGACACTTCAAATTCATTATTACCCCTTTACCTTTTCTGAAGATTATTTCCTTTTTAATATAGATGGAAATGGAAATAACAGCAGATATACTGTATCACCAATACAGACATCCAGATTCATTAGATCTACTTTGAGTCATTTGATTTTTACATCAAATAAGATGTTTTAAGCAATTCAGTTATCTCGCTGCTAAAGTTTTCTCCACATCTGAGTTAACAATCAAACGTCATGGTACTGTTGGCCTGGCGGTTGGGGCGAGCACCCAATGTACAGAGGCTTTTAGCCCTCAAAAGCGGGCGGCCTGGGTTCGAATCCGGCCTGTGGCTCCCTTCCCACAACTCTCTCTGCCGGTTTCTGACTCTTTCTCTCTTTTTCTGAGTCTAGAGTAAAGGCATAGAAAGCCGAATAGGCAAAACACAACAAAAGGTAACTGTTTCCGGCTAAGTTGAACAGAGCCTTCAATAAATTAAACATCATTAAATTAAATAGGGCCTTAAGGATCAAGTCGTTTGCAGTTTGTCAATAATGCAAAGTGAAGTGAAAACGCTTCAGAGAACCAATCCAGTGGACCAAAATTTGGCCCTTCAGTAGAATAATTACTTGCCCTCCAGTTCAGACTGTTTGAAGTTAATAAAGTGTCTGGAGAGGTTCCAGTGTGGCATCGACTGACTTTTATTGGAGCAGCAAGCCTAAAAGCCTCAGCAGGAAAAGATGCTGACTGACAACAGCCGAGTAAACAACTGTCTGTCTGTCCACCATCTGGCCCTGGACCTGAATCAGTCTGTCTGTCTGACTCCTCTGGGGCGTCTAACAAATGGTTCGCTTTATTTTTTCATACTGTTGGAAGAGAAATAAAAAGGTGCTGAGGTTTTTCTAAACATAAGATAATTTATTGCCTGAAGCAGACACAAAATATGATCAACTTAAATGAGAAGAAATCACCTCCTCCTGCTTTCTGCGATCTTCTGGTTCTGTCTTCCTGTCTCTCTGTCGGTGTGTCTGCTGCCTGCTGACCGGCCGGCTGTGTCCACGGCATCGACAGATTTATTGGCTTCCTCCCACCTGAGCTCTGACAGCCTGCAGAGAGAGAAGTCGGGTGTTGACTGAGGATGTCTGAGCCGCTCCGCTTCATCTCACCAGCAGGCAGAACCAGACGGGGACAAAATCAGCCTTGAAATGTATATTTACATTATTATTTTGTCTGTGTAGGAGTGAAGGATTAAGTGTTCAGT